GTAGCAGCCGGCGCGGCCCAGCAGGAAGGGGTAGTTGCGCCCCATCTCGTAGAGCTCCAGCGGCAGCCCCAGCAGCAGCAGCAGGTCCGACACGGCCAGGCTGAGCAGGTAGAGGTTGGTAGCGCTGCGCATAGCCCTGCGGCTCAGGATGACCACGCAGGTCAGCGCGTTGCCCACGGTGCCCACCGCGAAGATGAGCAGGTATGCGGCACAGATGGGCGCAAACAGCTCGGTCTGCTGCGGCCCCAGGTACTTGAGCCTCAGGGCCTCGTGGGTCAGGTTCAGGTCCTCGGGGTCGAAGTCCGCCATGGCCTCGCTGCTATTGCAGGGCTGGGGGCTCCTTGTCGCCCCTGAAGACAGGTCTCCCCAGGGGACTGGGCAGTCGGTGCAGAGAGGAGCCTGAGGAACAGAGGGAAGAGGCACCCAGGAAAGTCACCGAGGGATCTTGGCTCTGTCCTGGCTCATCAAACCGAAGGACCCTGGAGGAGAGCCTTACTGTATGAGCCACCAAGAAAGAAAACAACTCAGCCATTGCAATGTCAAGAGATAAAAATGAACTTTCTTTTCCTTTTCCTTTTCTGTGTGTGTGTGTGTGTGTGTGTGTGTGTGTGTGTGTGTGTGTGTGTTGCTGGGGAGCTACATCCCTGGCTCTTTTTATTTTGAGACAGATTCTCAGTCACTCAGTTGTCCAGGCTAGGTTCAAACTTGGGTTCTTCCTGCCTCAGCCTCCCAGAGTGCTGGAATGACAAGTGTTCAGTATCATTACAGGGAAGCAGTTTCCTGACTCCAGTCCAGGCTCCCAACTCTGGGCTGTGTGACCTTTGGGGAAGGGACCTCTCTGAGGCCTGTTCCTTCCCAGGACTCAGGCCCTCCAGGCACAGATGTACTGACAGGCACCTGCCTGACATCCAGACAGCTGATCACCCACTTGGTGGGGGACCGAGTGAGGGAGTGGAGATGCTAAAATGACAGTGCTAGATCCAAATTTAGACAATTTGTCTTCTTTCACCTCAACAGTTCCAAGTCTGGTTTTTTTCTCCTCCCCCCCCCAAAGTAATTTTTGAGACAAGGTCTTGCTATGTATGTAGTTCAGGCTGGCTTCGAACTCACTATGCAGCCCAGGCTGGTTTCGAACCCGGAGATCCTCCCGCCTATTTGATACCTCTGGCGCTAACACTTCTGGGGCTCCCGCTCCTCTCTCGGGGTCCCTCCACCCACCGTTCCTCCCACCCACCATCACCCCCAGCTCGAAGAGCCAGAGCTGGGATCTACTGGGATCTGGAGAGACGACCCACTCGGGAAAGGACAGAAGCGACCCGAGAGGCGACGAGGCCCCGGGAGTGGCCCGCCCCTCCCGGCC